TTTTACCAACTGAGTTGATTTTGTAAATTGGCCATCGGAAGGAGTTTTTTCGGTGGCAATTTAAATTATAAACTCAGTTGATGAAACAAAATCATCTTGTAATTCTCTCCCCCAACATGGCACCACAGTTTCTATGGAAAGTTACCCCCTTTACACAATCCAGAATACAGCCGGGAAGAATAAAACGAGCGGCAAACAAGCACTCCCCGATGACAATATTAATGGAAAATGAAAACCCAATGAAGAGAAGAGGGACACAAATACCAAAGAAGTTAGATTAAAAGTAGAAATTAATTCTTCTTTTAAAATACGAAGACTGTACAGCAGCTTTGAATGTCGGTAAAATAGAAGAGGTTCGAATGAGGAAATTTAGGATTAGTACAATAAACAATGGTTTTCGTTACTCAATATTTGTGGTTGGTAAACACCGGAAATTCTCTTTAAAATTGAATGAATTAGAGTAAATATGCACGTACTGGAGTTTCCGACAAATACGATCCTGGTCTTGCTCAGAAATAATGTAAACTTTTTGTTTTGTACAGTTAAGGATCTTATTTTTTAAGATCGCTTTCCGTTTGTCAGAACTATGGAAGAACGGGCCATGATGCCCGAAAATAAAACGAGATATTTGAATTTCTTGACAAGTTTGTATCCAAACATAGAAGCAGTATCGCAAATCTCATAAATTAGAAATGAAATGTATCGCGAGACCCGTGATTATGAAAGGGATATCGATAACTTCGTGCGACACGAAACAGTAGAGAAGGAAACCATTCAAAGTTTTATCAAGCACTGTGCGCGTGCGCTTTCTGTTCACACCTAATTGGTGGATGCGTAACCATTTGTTTGTTTCGTTGTCGTGCACTAATGGTTGCCCTGCTAACCCTTACCATGAAGTGGCATCGTTTGAAAACTTTCCTTTCAAAGGAAAAGCCGAAGAGAGAAAGAAGAAAAAGGTCTAGTAAAATTATCATTTACATTTAAGAGTGACTTCCATCAAATTTGATTTCTTGCGGAATCTCTTATATACTTTGTCTTAACAGGAAAGATTTAGAACATGAACTTTGTAAAAGAATCAAAACAATCAACGAATATGAAGAGGAATTGTTGCAAGGCTGGTGAGTAAATATCTGCTTTGATTTTCTTTCTTTTTTTCATGAAAATAACGATCTATGTATTTTGTCGTGAAATGTTTCCACGCAAAAATTGATTTCTCAGATTTATTATCAATTTGATTGGTATGAAGTGAGTTGTAATTTCGTTACCGTTAAAGTACAGAGTTAACGTTACAATTAAAAGTAGCATGCAATAGGGAGCGGCATAGGATGATAAAATTAGCTCTGCGAACAGTAATGTATTAAATTAGATATTTCCAGGGATTTTAAGCGCGCAAGAACTTAGCAGCATGATTGTCAAGTAAAGTCATGTTTGATAGGCAATTAGTGCCCAGGAATCGTTGTAGAACGTGAGTAAGTCATAAATCCCAAACGGAATTACGTATCTGGGTGTAGATTTCCCTAGCTAATAAATGTAACATTTTTTGTAACCCTAGGATTAGATCGTAATAGAATAGATAGATAGCAGAACGGAACGAGTAGTGCTGAATTGTCGACAAAAAAGCCCGATTCAAGTAAAAGTATACTGTCCAAGATTACTGAACCAGCGTGTGCGGAATTCTCAGTAACGCAAGTGGGAAATTCTGCGAAACCCTGCTTTGTTTTTTCTATGTGTTTTCCTTTGACTATTACGAAATCATTCAAGCATGAGTTCCCTAGAGAGAGGTCGTACCTTCAAACCTTTTGGCTAAGATACTACGCACTTCAAGAAATCGATATTCAGATAAACAGGAACAATAAAACAATTCACGTTGGGCATTATACCTTTTTTTAAACAAATTTTTGTGATTCTAGGAATACTTTGGAGGAAACTGATTCAAGAAATGAAAGAAAAACTCAGTTATGGCTAGCGGTTAAAGAGCGCCACGATAAAGCCACAAGAGATAAACAAATATTGATGGATGAAATTGAACGGTTGGAGAGTGAACTGAAGAGAGCACTTAAAAAGCGGATGGAATCCTTAAGAGAACAGATGTGAGTGAAACAAGAAAAAACGATTTCAATCTTTAGGTACAAGCTGGGTGCGGTTTAAGCAATTTGTTGGGCTATTGTTCATGTCCGCGTCTCGATGATGATGAAGCTTATAGTTTCGTGGGAGTTAAAAAATGCTCACTATAAAACAAGCGCTACAAATTTGGGAGCTTTAAGGAACAACTCAGCAAGAACCTCGGATGGTTTGATTTTTACGTTAAATGAGCTATTAATTGCCTTTTCTGACAGAGTAATGGCCACAACGGAGGACACTTACACGTGATCTAAATATAATCGAACGCTTTTCCCTCTCTCCCCCAAACAACGTTGAATATTAGGCGCTTTGTAAACTTTACTAAGGTGTGGTAGGTGTTTGATTTTACCAACACGGGGAGGATCTAAGTATACGCCTGAAATGGCAAAAGAGTGGTCTTTTTAAATATATTTCAATAGGGATATATTTCAACAACTGTCCCAAGGAGTTTTGGTCTCCGCTGTAGCTTTTAAATCTCTATAATCACTGGAAATAGGAGTCGATCGGGCTCCTGCCGGAACTCAACACCAGAGGAGCCTAATGAGACCAGTGAGAAGTCTTAATTACTTTTTCTGATTTAAATTTTTCCTAAAAATTCGTCGAAAGGCGCGGAGCGTTCCTCAGCAAAAAGACTGTTGACAATAAGTAAATAATTGTAACCACTGAATAACCATTCATGGCAATTCCTGAGAACTTATATAATTATAAAATTTGACTTTTACAGCCAGGTGACATGGCGGGTACTACAGCTAACGAAGAAAAAAGCAGCTATTTAGCGGAAAAGCGTGATGATTCTGGACATGAAGGCTTGCCATAACCGGCAAGGAGAGAAACAAGAAAGGCGTGTAAACCTGCGCCGTACGCGTTCACAAAGTGACATACCAAGAAATGCATTATGCAATAGGTTATGAAAAATTTGGCTAAAATGCTGAGATCTTTAAATCTAGTAGTATAAATATTCTTTTTCCATTTAACTGAAAACAAAGCAGATAAAAATAATACTGCTAATGCTTCACATACTTTTCATAAAGAATCTACTTTTAAATTACGCCCGGAACGAAAATATATAAAAAAAAAAACTTATTCTTCGTTGCTTTTCAATTGATTTTCTGACGTTATCAATATTCTGTACTGGAATGTCATATTGGATGGAATCTGAATAAAATCGATGTAAGGCCTCTATCATTTAATGAACATTACCTTAAAATTCCGTAATATGAAGAGTTTTAAGTCAGATGTAAACCAAATTAAAAGCAATCAAAGATTTTAAACAGGGTAAAGGAAACACAAGAAGGAACTCTGAACTTTGACATTGGGCGTACTGAATGAAGCATAGGAGCTAGGGAGAGGGGCGTGTCATTAAGTTGATATTGCATCTAATTGGTTAAGAAGGTGTCGAGAATCTTTGGACCGCACAGAGATCCTACTGAAGCAAAAGCAAAATCCTGGCGCTTCTTCCGACATTCGATCGGAAACTACTTCATGAGGAATACAAATCAGTCGTCGCTGTCCGGTTTACACCTAATAACCACAAACGTAATTGGTTTAATTAATGATAGTCTCATTAAGAAATGAGTGACTCAGACACCTTCTTTTAACTAGATTCTTTCGACGGTTTTCCAATGCGAGATGTCTTCGGTTTCTCTTCTTCTGTCTCCTAAAGCACTTGTTTATAATGGAGAAGTACTATAGGATATATCAATATGTTTATCTAGCCAGCCCAAGCCCATGCGCTCCAAGTTGTGGACTCACAAACAATTTTAAAAAAATTTCGTACAATTCCGTGCCTCATACTTTACCACTTACACAATGTCTGATCCTCATGTCATATGTAGCACCTTTCCACAAAACCTAAAGCCATCTGGTTTGTTAAGCCATTCAGATGGGGTGTAATGAGATAGAAACAGTTGTCCTTTGCTTAACATTAACTTGTTTCTCTTTTTTATTTCATTTTCCGATTATGAAGATCATATCCATTACTTTCTGTACCTTGCAGTAATAATTTTCACTATTGCATCATTTCTCTATCGCCGTGTTGGACAGCTTATCTGGAATGAGCGTTTTCTTTTTAAGGGAGGAAAGGGGGTCTTTTTTTGAAAAAATTCATTGATACATTGGTAAGACTATAGTAAGGTACATCTTTCGGAAATAGCCATTCACCCACGCATCACAATGGTTGCTTGAGAAACTTATTAGAGTCTGTAAGACCTTAATGATCGAGGCAATACAGACGGCCAATCGCCTCGTTCTGAAGCTTTAAAATCCAGGACTGAATTATAAATAGAAGAGTTCATAAGACACAAATTAACTCATGACAACGCGTCAGAAATTATCATTGCAGGTGAAAAATAAAGTTAAGTGCAGTTTCCTGTTATACAAAGCATGAAAGAGGCAATATCAGCTGGGTACGCGATAACATTGATATTTTAAGTTTAAGAAAAGTCGATTCTTTGCTTGATGAAACTGATCGTGGAAAGGTGGCCTGTTCCAGGTAAAACGAAAGTAAACAAAGTGTGGGCGCGATGGTAGTAGCTGTGTGGAAAAACGAGGGGCCCAACCCAAACGTGCTTTTTTATGGTTTCATTTTTTTTTTTATGTTTTTTTTTAAAATTTATTTTATTTTTTTTCTTTTTGCTCCACTGCTGCTACGCACCGTTCGTTTATTTCGCCGGCTTGTGGAACGCTAATAGAACATTGAATAATGGAAAATCAGAAGTGAAGAGGACAAATTAATTTGCATGCAGCGTCGATATCACCACTCTCAAAAAGCGATCTTTGAACTCAGAAAGAGCCTGGTGATGACATCTGTATCGCACATAACGTGGTTGTCATTCATGGGGGGAAACCGCTGCAATCTTTAGCGAGAGTCTCGTTCCCGCTTGGATGCTAACATTCCTGTTTGAACTGTTGTGGAAAGGAGTCTCTTCCTCGTTCTTAGAAACGAGAGCCATACCTTCGCTAGACAAATGCAGCCTTTCCTGATAGACTAATTAAGGCAAATTATCAAGTGGAAAACTACACAGCACGTTATTTTGACACGTGACCCTCTCCTTTGCTCAGAAGTTTCGAGAAAAGTCAGCTGGGTCGGCGATTTCGGGAAATTCATGTAGTGGTTTTATATATATATACGAATTCACTAATTTGTCGATAGAATTCCTCATAGACTGCAATGTGGTGGGATGACGACGATTACTATTCCATACCGTATTCCTTCGGTTCAAATGATGATATGGACGATGATAGCGACGATCATTACACCTTTGACGACGATTACTATTACAGTAGCGGCGAAGATTATTCCGATGTTGTTTCTCGACGGATGAGATCAAAAAGTGATGATGTAGAAGATATTACAGAAATCGAAGCCTCCACGCCGAGTTACCAAGTTTCTTCTCTGCAAGACTTGTGTTGTCGGTTTATTTCACGGAGATTTCCGTTCGCTTTCATCGAGCATCGATCTCCCCCGATTCCGGACCAGCTTCAGCTGAAAATCATCCAGTTTTCATTCCCCGAAGACGAAGATATGATACGGAAGTATGCCGAGTTTAGTCGCAGCAGTGTTGACTTCTCTGCAGCGAGAAGGCTGGTCGAAAATGGAACTGTGAAAGATGTGAATCAGATAGGTAGGTGAAATGATTACATGAAAGTATTGTATAAACATCACGTCCACCACTGATACTCTTATTAAAGTGTGAACGTTATAACAAAGCCCACCGTTTTAAAGCCCCTTCCTCCCCCCCCCCCCTACAACTGACAAAAGCGTCTGATTTCTAGAGCCCTTGCACCTTCCCCCTTCCCTTCCTGATAAGTCCTCTCTTCCCTCCTCAAAGAATAAGTTCTTTTGTGGTATTTTTATTCATCTATATTACACATAACTCTTTTTACACCCTAATATCAGTATGCATATTCTCCATACCCTTCTGTATACATTTCCTTTGGTACTGGCAAGGAGAGTTGGGTTACAATTAAAGCTTCCTAGGTTGGCAATCATTTCCTTTATTCTCATGATCAAGATAAAATGACTCAGCAGTTTTACTGTAAGGAGAATTAGATGCTGGCTTCTCCTGGGGTTTAAGGGAATTAGAAGCATTTCAGTTCAAGGTATATCTGTATTTGAATAAGGTTCTTTCAACCAAAATAAAAATGCATAATGGATATGGCAGTCATTAACTTTGGGTGATTCAGAAGGAACACAATCCACATTTGACCGGTTTTGAGTTTTTATTGAGCCACTGCTCAGAAAGAAGCTATCCTCTCCTATAAGCTCCCTAACTAGAAGCCTGTTCTGGGAGGCGTAGTAGGTTACAGTGACAATGAAGCTAGGATTGATTTTGTTTTGCATGCAAATTTTTAGAAAAATTCATGCTTCATATTTACTTTAAACAGCATCTTATTCATCATAAGTTCAAAAGGGAAAACTTTTTAGAATCTCCCTTCATGTGTGTGAGGTTTCAGGGAATTCTTGAGGTTTTTGAAAGGAAATTAAATAAAAATTTCACATGTCAGTCATATTTCAGGAGGCATCATCATGCCTCATTCTGATTCATAAATTCATGAATTATGCGTGCCTTTCTGCAAAATTCACAAATCTCATGAAAATTTTGGCCTTAAGCACAAATTACATATAGACCCTTTGCCAAACTCTCTGCAAGAAGATCTCATTAACATAGGGAAAACAAAATTATCTTTAAGTTATATTTACTTTCTTCTCTATGTACAACCTTCTAGTATACATGTATGCTATTTACAAAGAGATTCAATCTACTTTGAATTTTCATAGGTTTTCGTCTAAGTGCAACTGTCGGTGATCGAAGGACATATCCTCGCCGAGGAAATAACAATAAGAGCTACGTTACTATTCAGTTTGACCGTGGGAAAATTACCTCTGCTCACTGTTCTTGTGAGCTGTCCACAAACTGGTGTGTGCATGTTGTTGCAACATGTTTGGAAAGAATCAAGAATAAAGACAAAATTTCTATTCACATGCCAATCTCTGACTCACTCAATTTGTTGGACAGAGAACAGTTATTAAAGTTTGCACAGTACCTGCTAAGTGAACACCAACATGAACCTGTTGTAGAAACAGCCCAGCAACTGCTCAACAGACTTTTGTCTCGTCAACAACAGGACAAGCCAGATGACATTAATTTGATTGCTGGTGCTCCCGATCCAACTGCTGGACCAGGTAATGCACAAGATAATGTACAATAAATGTTATCACAGTAGGCACTTTAGTGGCAGATCCAGGGGGGCTAGACCCTCCCCCTCCTAATATATAGATTTAGCCAAGCCTAAAAGCGGAGCTCGCACTTTTTTTTCCCACATGTCTCAAGGGCACAACGCCTTGCTCTGGCCAGGACTAGAACCCGGGTTGTCCGACTTGGAGCCCAGTGCACTGACCATTGGACTACTGAACAAAGCCCGCGGCATGCCTGCGGTACAGTTGACCGCGCATGTTAAAAGTAGCACCTTGTACAGTCGTACGGTCATATGGTTGTACATTCAAATTTTTTTGGCTTGATGGGTTACTACTATTTTGTATAATTATGGGGCTATGCTTTGCGAGCTCCACTATCAGACCTGTATTTTACTTGTTGTCTAAGCTTAAGGGCAGAACCACATATCACTACTCAACTTGAAGTGTTCACTTATTTTGAGATCTCTTAAAATTGTTTAGGCTCTAGTGTAAAAAAAAATTCTAAGTCATCTTGATCAAATTGTGGACCCAACTCAGGAAACAAAAGTTCTTGGATCTCCCCCTGTTCTTTACACAGTTTATGGCCATTTTTACATGTGGCAAGAGAAACCCATAGTTGTACTTAAAAACATTTTTCAATTGAAGGGCTTGACTTGGAAATGTCTTTTACAGTGCTGTATTCCTGGATACTTTGCATAAAGTCTGTTAAACTAATTCCTTGTATACTGTTTTTGATCATTGATATTTTACCTTTATGTACAGTATGACTCATTCAAACTTTTGAATATTGATTGTTGTTAAAATTTCAACTCCAAATTTTGAGTTTCTACTGTTCTTATAATTTTGGAAATGTAGAAAAAAGGAAGTGAAAAAAAGTTCCAAATATAGGAACACTCAGGATGTAATGAAAATTAAAAAAACATTATTTCATATTTTGTGATTTTTGGATACAAGACTGTTATAGCCAACTTGGTGCTATGGGCCTGTGGCACCGGCTATTACCATCTCATTAATGCAATTAACTGTTAATTATATAAGGTGTATTTAAAGGTATACACTGTACATACATTCAAATATTCCAGTTTATTTTTTTAAGTCTTCTGGAATGCTGCTAATGAATTTTTGTTTAAACTATTTTCAGGCTTGGACGAAGAAGCTCACTGGTTTGTGTCCAAGAGTGGATTTCAGTCTCGCTGCGAGAGCTTGATGTATGAGTCTCAAGCAGATCTAGGATTCATATCCTACAATGATAGGGATAATGACAGAGGCAGTTCAGTAACTGAGTTATGGGCTAAGAATTGCTTTCAACAAGCGCTTGTTCAAGGTATAAATTACCCTCAGCAGCAATTTACTTTAAAGTGGTACTCTAATTGATCTCATTGCTGATTAAGTGTTTGGTCACAAAAGAAACCATGGGTGGCAGATTTTTGCTAAAAGTTAAAAGTACATGTACATAAAGGAATTTTGAAAATGGAGTGGATAATAAAGTTGGCTGAAAGTTTGGGCCTGGTTTTGGGATTCTGTCTGTAAGGTAGTTAAGACCATTTTTCTTTTGTGGGGTAGTTGGTTTTCATGCTGAGTCAGCTTTTTGCATTTTTTTGTTTTTTTGTTTTTTGCATTTATAAAAAGTATGAAAACCTTTCCAGACTTATAGATCCTTATAAGTTGCACTTGGAAACATAACCATTTACATTTGCAATACAACTTATATGCTTGTTGTTGCTTTTCTTAAAATTTTTACACTGTAGATGAAATGGACCTTCAACATAATGACTACTGCACCTACTCCTCTTCCCGTCGCCTAAATGTTCTTAAAGTCTTGGAAGCAGTTGCTGATCTGCTTGAGGATGATTTTATGAGTGCAGTGTCGGCTTTGACCATGTGCACTGAGCAGTTAACAGAGAGATTGAACAAGATCTGCCGTTTAGACTCTCCTGCTGCTGATACAGCAATAGGGTGGCGTCGTGCAAAACAGGAATCCAAAGAAAACACTGGGACTTTTTTTGGATCATTGGCTGGGGGCTTCACACCTAGAATATCAAGGTAATAGTGTAAGCTGGGGGTTTCAATAAAAAGGTGGTAACTTTCTAAAGAGGCCACTGTAAAGAGTTTTGAAGCTGAATTTTTGAGCATGAGCCCTTCATCAGAGCAAATGTTTTTAATAATGACCTGCTATGGTAGTCTACCATCACTCATAAGACCTCCTACTCCTGTCTGTTTAGCCTGGGAGCAGGCTCTTGTTCTGGGCACAGCTGCCTGCTACATCATTGGCAGCTGCTAACCTACAAAGTTGTTGAAACCCTTGGTGTAAGGTATACATATATGGGTTAGCTGTGTGAACTAGTTGTCTCTAAATTTTTACCTGCAGTTAATAACTCAAACCTTCAAACTTAATCCTTCACACACTTACATCAGTATCCATTTTCTCCATATTCTTTTCAAATATCGTACCAAAAAAAAATCATTCAAAAATCAAATCTTCTTGGGACTGCAATCATTTTATTCACTCTTATGATTTTAATGAATGATTTAGCAGTATTACTGTACTACTAAATTTCAGGGGTTGAATGAGGTTTTTCAGATAACTTGTAAAGTATGGGGAGGTATAGTGATTATTTCTGGAAGTCTGGCTCATTATTGCATGGCAAACATCACTATGCATAAGTGTGACATTGCTGTTCTGTTCAATTTGTTTTCTAAGTTGCTCTACACTGAGTGATGAGGTCTCAAGACTGTGGCGATTAACTGTACTTAGGCCTGGTGTTCCTCCTAAACAACGCAAGGGAATGATTGAACAACTGAGAACGTTAAATCAAACAGGCATGATGTAGATTTTTTTCTTTTTTGGTGTGAAATATATAGTATTACTTGTGATAATTTCGTTAATTCATTAAAGAGAGCACATTAGTACTATGCATCATTAGACCAGGTGAATATCTTGAAAATTGAATTTGACAAGGATACCCAATATTATGAAGAAACCTCGACTTAGGCAGACAGTAACAAAGCTTTTATGCAATTCTGTCAAATACAGGTTTTGTTGTTTATTTATATCTATTAAGTTGCGTTATTTTTGGACAGAGATGAATGCTTGAGTACATCTACATTTTTTGTCACCACTGTTGTTGTTCTTTCAAAAGCATCTGAGTGTGGGATGCATGTACCAGTACAGGCATCGTGAAACTTGCTAACAAGTTCTCTGTGGCTTCTTTGTTAAAACATCCATCGGCGAAGTTAGAACTTGCAACGGTTTGGATTCTCACCATGACCTCAGATTTCGTTGTTGCGGCACCCGTGACAAATGTTCACCATCGCCCTTAAACGAATACAGGTTTGTAGTTTATGTGATTTATTGTGACCAAATTATAACTCTCAGTTTCCGTAGCATTCATGAATGGTCCATTACGTCCTTGGCATGGTTTAGAAGTCGCTGTCCGATTGGCTTCCATCAATTGGGGTTCAGATGTCTTCCAGAGTGTCCTCAGGGGAGAGTGGATCCAGTCTCCTGTTGTAGTTAGCTGTATGGCTATCCACCTAACCTGCCAATTAAAGGATCAACTTGTGAATTGGATGGAGGCAGATGAAGGGCAGAAAAATGAGGAGCAGTGCAGAGCTAGTAGGATATTGTCATTTCATAATCCTCACTGTATCTCGTTTGGTCCACATTGTATTGTCAATATCCACTCAGTGTGCTCCATGATCGAAGCCTTATATATCAGCAGCAGACATGATGAGGCTATGCGTCTAACTGTTACCCTATGCAGCACGCTTGTGCTATTCTACAAAGGTCATCTCCTTCAACTCTTTGATGCAGCCACATTGCCAGTGTCTGCCAGATGCCATTTGGGGTCAAGTACATTACCAGAGGGTGTAAATGAGAGAGATCATCAAACTGGAAACAAGGTTGACTTAGACGGTGGCCAGGAGATGGATCCGCTTGTGGAAATCAATGGAGAGTCGCCAATGAACGTTGATGCCCCTAATGAGGAGCCAAACTTTGATGATGTCTGGCCGGAGAACACCATTTTGTCTGTAACTACTTTTGCATTCCTTTTCCACTTTCTCTCTCGAAAGCCTGATTTGGCCCAGGAATGCCTCGCAAAAATGAAGCACACGCTATCTGAGGAAATTAGTCTTCATGGCTTGGAGGATGCAGAGTCGCTCAGGTTTCACATAGGAGTTATTGGATTATTACTGCAGAGACTTCCAGCACCATCTCTTCACCATGAGGTATGTTATTTTCTTTTTTTTTTTAATTTGTTCCTTTTACTTTGTTTGCTTACTACCTGTTGCATGTAAAATTCTGTTTTAATTCAACCGGGATTATTTTCGTAACGTGCACTTTTCTAATGGTTCAAAAGTCCCAGAAAGGAACCTTTAATTAATTTTCTTTTTCATTATTAGTCGGAATAAAGCATAGGTGTAGGTCTAGGCTGAAGCTTAGGATACTTGAAACGCTTGGTTGCATTTTCTAGTGAATATGAAGGTGGATTATGAAGCCATAGGTTGAGATTTCAGACCTTGATTAAGGGTAAGTGCAACCATATACCCAAAAGTAATGCAAGATATCCTGTGTCTGAGACGTGTTGCCCAGTAGAAATGAGACCTTGTTCGACAGAAATACGTCTGAACTTCATCCCAGAGCTCGCGATATTCAGAAGGTGAGCCATTGACACAAGTCTACTTCTGAGACCTGCCTTAAATTTGTCATACTCTTTAAGATACTCTATATACCTGGTAGTCGCCAAGAACTGGGTAAGAAGGAAAGAAAGAAATGGGATACTGCTAATTTTTTTTCTTACCTTTATCAGGTGGAAGAGTACAATTATGAATGCTGGCTCACCTACCAGCTGATTTGCAGCTCCCCAACTCCCACGGATCTGAATTTCTTAGCACATCTTGGACAACATCTAATGGGTGCAGCCACACCCAGACCCACACCCACGACCACACTTGCGCCACCTTCATCTCTGACCCGCGTGATATTTCATCATCTCTTCAAGGGTGCTCCCGCAGCTCTCAGCAAGAATCTCACAGAGCAACAGAACATAGGCCTTGACTCTGCGTTTCATGTTCTTGGGCATGTTAACAAGTACATGTTGAAAGAAAGATCTCCCTCATGGATGCTGTTCCAGTACGCAAACTGTAGACTCTGGGCCAAACTGGCTGAAGTGGTGTTACGGTCCCTGTCGGACTCTCCCGAACTTCTTAAAAAAGCTATGACCTATATCCTTCAGCCAAGTGGAATGCTAGGTGTACCAATTCCGGAGGGCACATCAAATGAAACCATTTCATTTGAAGTGATGTCGCGTTTGCGTAACATGGAGGTTGTTAAGGCGAAGTGTCGTATAGCTTACAGCCTGGCGAAGGCACTCAGCTCCAAACAGGGTAACACTATAAAAATGTCGGAGTACAAAGCTGAGACTGGTGGTCGACAATGGAAAAGAGAAGGTATTGAGATGGAAATGCCTAGAAAGATCATGAAGGCCGGTGTGGGGAATGCGCTGAAGTTGTGCGCGGTTCAGATTGGTGCTCACTGTCTTTATTTAGAGAAGCTTTCTGACAGAAATCGTGCACACAGTGATATGGTTAGGTGAGTTATAGACTTGTGTGGGACACCACGATTGTACCCAACCGCTTTGCTATTTATCACAGGGTTCGAAATTACGATGAGTTGGTCGCTTATGCGACTGAAAATTAACTGTTGGCGACCAGAATCTCACCGTCTGCTGGCGACCTTCTTTAAGCCTTGTCAAGTTGTTTTTTTATTTATTTATTTTTCCTTTTTTTTTAAATGTGAACCAAAATTCAAGAAACGAAACTCCCGTTCTTTTGTTGTTGTTGTTGTTGTTGTTGTTGTTATTACTGCGCTTTTTTTACTCGCATTCTCGTATTTTCCTCTTTGGCACCAAAACGTAATCGCTCTATACGGCGTTTGTGGCAACAGTGACTGGGAAATAAAAAAATTTTAAAGAAGCACTGAATGTGCTCTGCATCGGGTCCACATCAATGCCTTAATTTTGGGGAAACGGAAATATTGTTTCTCCATTGTATTTTTTCTGATAGTTTTATTTTGATTTTTACCCCCTTAAGTTATGATTAATCGACCTAACTATTTTTCATAGATGGCTGCTGGACTTTGTTGTGAGTTCGGGAATGGATGCAGTGAAGTGCCTTGTGAAGTGCGAAGGTGGAGCTATGCTTTTCCTTGCTCAAAGCGAACTGTTGACTCTTTGTGAAAAAGTCCTCCAGGTAAACAAAACAGACATTTATACTATGGCTAGTTTGAAAAAATTTTACTCTTTCCGCACAGTTGAATTGTTTAAAATGAAAAGGAAAAAGTGCGAGATATACCATCTTTTCAATATGCAGTGTTAGGGCTCTACGATCAGGAGAACAGTTTGCAGATTTTATTTTTTGCGTTTCAATGTTCACGCCCATCCCTGCAACTTGGTGTTAAGGCTTTAAAACCCACATAAAGAATGATCCATAACTGCCGGAGTCTACTCCCTTTATTCGTTTCAGATGCTCGTGGCTACAAGTTGTTTTTCATTTAACTTTATTTTTCAGTTTTTTTTCTTTCTTGTCATCCTGGTACGGGCCTTCTAGGTATTTGGAATTGACGGTCATGCGTTTGCTTGTTTTTCTTTAGAAGTTTGACCTTTTAAGTGCTAGAGATATCGTCAAATCCATTCTTCTGTCTCTGTTGGAAAAGGCCAGTGGTTCTCAAAAGTTAGACGACATGAAGAAACTTGTGTCGTTTTGCAGGTAACGTGAATGTTCTTTTTCGCATTATATTTGTTTCCAGTTATTGAATAGAGATACATTATGTTGGTCAGTTGTAGAGGCCGCTTATCAGGTCCATAATCAATCTAAACGGTCAGTTTAGCATTTCATGCCACGTTAACTAAATCGACCTATCGATTGACAGAATTTGAATCCAAGATAGTGACGTGTCTTTTTCCACTGTGTTACAGTCACCCAGGGGTTGCGCAGAGTCAGTAACGTGCATTAGTTTCGCAATGGTTCGAAAGATTCAAAAGATACAGAAAGCTTGGTCTGTAAAAACATTTTACTAACCAACTTTGCTCATCGTTTTGTAGAGACAAGCGATGTGCTATACAAATGGAACTTCTTCCTTGGATCTGCCAAAGACTGAAATCCCTAGCAGAAGGCGAAGCCTTTTTACCCTTTGAAGTTCTCATGGATGCGAGCCTAGGTATGTTTGAGCACTTCAAAGAAAAGCTGTCAACGCAAGAGAACATCAACCGGCGCATGTGGAGTCCAAGGGGAAAATTAGGGCTGGTAAGGACCTTTTTTCTATTTGAGCATTCGGCACTTAATCTATTGATAATCTTGATTGATAAATTTTTGTAACTCTTATTTCAAAAAGCCTGCGAAAGTAGTCACCGGTTTTATACAAGTTAAAAAATTGACAAGCCAAATCAACTGGAAAAGGAAAACGGGCAGTCCACATTTTCAAAAGCCAACAAGCAGGCTTATCTAAGACGTGTAACAAAGAAGTCGAGCTTCGGGGCAACTGACAACAAATCTTGGGAGTAGCAGGATGGCGTGATTGACTGCCAATAGGCTGCAAATAGGGAGCAGGGAAAGTTTCTAAAAACACCTTAAAAAATGTCTCTAAAATATTAAATATAATTCGAAAATGTGGATTGTTTCGAAACCCCAGAGGAGGCTTTTCAGTGATGAAGGACAAATAGAAGACGACTCAGACAATGAGGACAGTGACGGTCTTATGAACAATAGGAATCCATACAAGACTTCAGAACCACACCCGCACCTGCAAGTGGCGTTTGATCTGGGAATGATGGGATTGGAGAAAATCAAAGAAAGAGCCGATGAACGGGAAGATGATTGGTATCCACGTTATCACCGCTGTCCAGTCAAGGAGCACCTCACCGTATTCTGCAGGTATTCCAGTCTCTCTCTCATAATCATCGTCATCATTAACATCATCATCGTTATCACATCGTTTTCTACCTAAGCCGAAGGCTTAGACAGAAAACACAGACACGAGGTTTAATAATTCATGATATCATGCGAAAACCGAATTCATTTAATTGTTTTATCAAACATTTGTTAAACAATCTGCCAAAGAAGACACCTGTCTGAGTTTGCAAAGGTTTGAGAACACAACACGGACGAGGTGCTTGGAATTTAGGAAGATTTTGAAATGATAACTCAATATTATCTGCAGTAGATATTGGGTTATTATGGCTCTCGACCAATCAGAGTTTTTATAGTAAGTCCTATGTCTAATAACATTTTAAATCAGTATCGTGTTATTGTTATCATAACCACAATCGTTTATGGACTCCATGAAATAAACCTGCTTCCTAAAAAAAGCCTAGGAATAAAGGAAAACCACCATGTCGATAAACCCTGTAACTTTAATAATATTAATGACGTTATTTACGATGTGAAATTAAAAATGTTAGGATAACTACGCGCGGTGAAAATGTCATGAAATAGTGGCATTTATTTACGTCTTTACTAGTCAATAGTCTTTATTAGTATTTAGTGTCATTATTATCATTATTATTATTACTATTGTTATTATTAATGAACCGATATTGAATCAAGTCCAAATTGGTTACAGGGTGTATTGTCTTATTTTATACTGACAGGCTTGTGTGCTATGTGGCAAAGAAAACGTGGCTCACTGAAACTCAAGAAACATATCATAAATTTTCCAGAAAAATTCGAATTCTAGACAAACCTCGAAAGAAGGTCGATAAAACAATTGCAATTTCCGATGACAAACCAGGATGCAGTCATTGGGAAGATGGTATGCTTTTGTTAGATTTTATTGTTTTAGTTCAAGGGGTAGAAGACATTGGATGTATACTGTGCTCTCAGTTCGATAAATTCTTGAGCGGAATGTACCAGCGCTAACGTTAGAGAAACTCAAGAAGCCATGTCCCAGTGCTTCTAAATTAGATTTTGTACAATTTTATTGAAGCACGTGTTGACTAAAACAAAAACTAAATAAGTCAACGTTTCAACAACTTGATAGGAACCCTTAAGAACCTGCGATCGACTGTCACTCTGGGTGTTGTTGTCCTTCTTGCTATTTTAAAACAGCTGGAGCTTCTCTTTTAGGCGAGGCTGTATTAAATACACTTTGGCCTGAAGGTTTCAGAATTGGGGAATATCACTTTGGGAATATCACCAGACATTCCTCAGTTTTAGCTGGGACATTTTCGGTCACGTGGTGCGTGTAGATCGAATTACAAGAAGAATTGTCTTCCATTTATTTTTGCATCTTGAACTCATTTAATTTGCAGCACAATCACAGAGTGTCTCTCAAAAGTCTTCCGAGGATTCATACCTGCACAAATTCGTTTGTTCCTTGATCAGTAACGTCGATAATCCCATGTGGCTTTTCGAGGTGGTTAAAGAGGTAACACTTACATCTGTAAAATGATATAACCATTTAAGGGATGATAGGATGTTCATAGGGAAAAGCTTGATATTAAGACTCCGCCTTCTTAAGTCAAAATTTTGCATCGGATTGCTTGTTTTTTTTTATTATTATTATTTTTTATTTTTTTGGCAGAGAAAGGTCTGGGTTTTCACATCATGTGTTTGCTATGCAATCATAGTATGTGGTGATACTTTGTCTGCTCTCTGATCGTAATTATTCTTCACAGCTTGGGCAACACCTGAACACTGAAGGCGCACGTAGTAGCCCGTCATCAAGGGTTGAAAGGTATGAGAGACGCGACGCAGAGATCAAAGAAGCTTGTCAGACTCATCCTTCAGTTAAGCTTCTACTTCAAAGGTAAAGAAGTTTTGGTTCGCATTTGAGGATATCACATACCCCTGGCTTCGTACCGAGTTGCCTGAAGCTCGTTTGCTTCAGAGGCAGCTGTATTTCTAGTTTTTGCTTTGTGGTTTTGATTTTCCTTTTTGTGGTGGTAGTTTACTAGTAAAAGTTCTTATTCATAATGAAATAAATTTCATTTCCCCAGCAGATGAAAATCAAGTAAAGCAATGATTCTTGCAGGTGAGCCACAATGGAAGCAATTGCAGAAAAGAAGCTTGAAAACATTCAGGCTTTCTGCCTAAATTGCAGCTCACCTGCAAAGACCATTGCTTTACTTTAGTTAAATTTCTAAAAAAAAAGAAAAAAAAGGAAAAAAAAGAAATTCTGTTTGGCCAGGACACCCAACAATAGGCCATATTACAGTTGTGTGCTCAGTTGCCAAGCTTTTGATTTGGAGTGAGGTTGAAGGTGACCTTGTTGTGATAGAGACCAGTATCTAGTATCTAGCATGATAACAAAGAAATATACATTTGAAAACCGTGATGGTCTGTATCATAAAAAGGTCACACTCGGCCTCACTCCTGCTCCAAGGCTTGGCAACGAAGCACGCAACTGTAAAATGGACCACTACAGAAAGAGGCCTGAAAAATTCAGGCTCTCTGCCTAAATTTCAGCTCACCTGCAAAGATCATTGCTTTATTTTAGTCAAGTTTCTAAATAAAAAGTGGAAAAAACCTTCCACCACTTTCTCCACCAACGAATTTTTGTCCTTTAAGGATCTCCTTGTACAAAAGAGCAATCATGCATGATGTGTGTAAAGATCAAAAAAAAGAATCATACTTTAATGGTCGTCATACTTTTAAGTCATTATTTTTTCTTCTTAATTTAGAGCCGTTGATGAATTTTTGAAACTTTTAAGTGGTCCCAAGATGGTAACCGCCGTCGAGGAGGTTACCCATCGCCGCGACCGACGCCATCTTGAACCTTCGGAAATAATGTACGAACTTAGGCGCTCCAAGGTTATGAACACAAACATGACAGACTTACTGAAGACCACGAAGAGAGCTCTCAATATCTTGGATTCCAGTGGAGCCAAGCTAAAAGACTTGACAGAAGAGATTTCAAAACAGTATCCCATTTTGCAGCCGTTGTTGGATCATGTGTTGGGAGATAAGGATATTTACTCGTCGGATGAGCGCGAAGTGGGTCTGTTTCGGTCACACGCTGGCATTTTCCCTGCTTTGGTTGCCCATGGCTTGTTCCCGGGCATGTTTGAAAGCGCCTTCTCGGATGACTATTTTTAACTGGAAACCGCGTTTAAAGTGCAAATTAACCCGCGACAACGAGGTCATTAGTATAGGTAACAACATAATTTCGAGTGTAATTTAAAGTTAAGAAGCACTAGTGAATTTTTCAAAGACAACAAAATTGCACTAGCCCATAGGGCAAGTGTAATTTGTAGTCTTTAAAAAATTTACTAGTGCTTTTTACACCAAATTGCAAGGGAAATCATGCTATTTCTTGTTAATAATTTACATTAAAAAAACATCACAGAAAGTCAAGACAGACGAAATTTTGAAAACGCACGCGCGCTATTTGTAATTTGCACTCGTGTTGCATGAGAGTGCACTCGTTTTCAGCCAATCAGAAACGCGTACTTTTTTCATGTAGACTAATATGTTTGTTTTTATTAGGGTTTAAAGGAGTTTAAATACCAATGTTCACCTTTATGATTAGGTTTTCTCAAGGAAACATCCAGCGCTGTGACAAGTTGCCGTTAAACGGCTGGAGATATTGTATAAACAGAAGATTCGATAACGTGCAATTTAAATATAGGATCAACATTTTTGACTAAAAACTGAATGATGTTCAACAGCCATGTTGATGTTTCAGTTCACTTTTTCCATCAGCTCACTTTCGAGCCTTAAATTGTAGCTGTTATTATCATCAGATAAGCTTTGCCCCTATTTTTGAATACAGGTGGTAGTTTGAACCATGAAACAAACCTTTCGTTTTTCCAAATTCATTTTGTGTTAGAAATGCTAATGATTAGATGTGAAAATACGATAAAAGCTTACTGCTATTTTAAAAAAAGTTTACTTGAAAATCTGCACGAAACGTTAAATGTATCCCCTGGATTCAACCACTACAATGTGGCTGCTGAAAGAGGATTTACCTTTTCATCTAAGTTGTTGAGATATTAGGTAATGTTGTTTTGTTTTTTAATTGCTTCTGATGCCAATGAATTAACTATAAAGCAGTTAGGGGTAACTCACAGATGGCCACCAATAACTTGCTGTTTTGGACTTCCAATTTGAATTATGGAAATAATTGTTTTTCAGATGAAATACAGCCCTGGTACTGCCATAGAAAGAAGAATGTGTATGACTTCTTGAATAAAACGTGATTAATTTTTTTTCTGCGTTAAGAACAGCGAAAAGGCCTGAAATAAGCACTCTTTTTGGGGAAGCTGACGAGACTGACCTATTCGGAGGGGAGAGGGGTGGTGGGTTTGAGGGTTTTTGGGGATCACATGGTTTTCAGAAGGAATGGAGGTGGGGGTCAGTCTCGCTAGCAGAAAATTTACTGACAATGAGGCCCATCAGAATACCATGGGGTGGGGGGAAGGGGTAAACTGATGAAATTTATTGTGACACCTCTCACACCCCAGCCAATAACTCAAGACTGGTACCCTAAATCAGAAGATTATGGAATCTGGCTCAAAACTAACTCCCAGCAAGAGACTATAAACTCTTGCTTTCAACTGGTCATCTATAAGGAAATACTCTAAGTTGCTATGGCATTGAGTTGAGATAAAAAGCACTCTTTAAGGTAGCAAGCTAAGAAATAATTATGATTTTAAATTTCGGCTCTGGGCACTACTGTATACCTCCAATCAGAATCATGAAATTAAATTTTAATAGGAAACGGATTAGACCTTATTTCTGTGACTCCTAGGTTGTAATGACTTCCCTTAAGGCAGGAGGCAGTCGTCCCCTTATGAAGAATCTCCAGTTGCAGTTTTA